TTTGGGAGGTGAGGCTTTTTTTCTTCTTCCAGCTGTTTTGGAATGTGAGGCCAAAAGGGGGGGTCGTACGCGCATGCGCAGGGTGGCAGGGCATGCAGGAGGGGCATTGCATTATGGGTGTGGGACGTGTGCACATGCAGTAGTGCACACGCGCACGCTTTTGGCACCCAAGGAAAAAAAGTTTAGCCATCACTGGTATATAGTTTGAATGCAACAATGAAGTGCATTAGTTGCCCCTAGAACTTTGGGGGGGGGGGTAACATGGGATCCTCAAATGCAGCTAAACCATAGTTCCTAACAGCACCTCTCAAGGTGGCAGATGGAGAAGGATATTGTGATCTGTAGTTCTCCAGATGTTTTAAAAAAGAAGTTGACTTTGCAAGCCAGTAGCCTAAATGTTTATTTTTAATAAACTTTTTAATAAACCATTTAACCCAGTGGTGAAATCAAAAAAAATGTTTACTACCGATTCTGTGGGCGTGGCTTGGTCGGCGTGGTGTGGCTGGTGGGTGTGGCAGGGGAAGGATACTGCAAAATCTCCATTCCCACCCCACTCCACAGGAAGGATACTGCAAAATCCCCATTCCCTCCCCACTCCTGGGGGAAGGATATTGAAAAATCTCCATTCCCACCTGACTCTGGGGCTAGCCAGAGGTGGTATTTGCCAGTTCTCTGAACTACTCAAAATATCCACTACCGGTTCTCCAGAACCTGTCAGAATCTGCTGGATTTCACCTCTGATTTAACCACTTTGTAGATTAAGCAAGCATTTCAGGGACTCAGAATTGAACATTATGCTGACAAGTTAAGGCACCTTCTATTCTTCATGCTGCCAGAGATAGTCTGGGAATTGCAATACCATTACATCCAGAGGGCAACAGGTTGAATAAGATTAAATGAAAGAAGTATCACTTCCAGTTTCCCAAGATGTAACTCTTCCTGTATGTTCCTTGCCAGGTGAAACCACTTTTCTGTCTTCCTTCCTTCCTGTAGGTGGTTGGGGCTTAAGAGCCATTTTAGTGCCGCTTCAGACAAAGGACTCTTTGTGAAATTGCAAACTAAGATGTTTAGACTTAAATGGCACAGACAGGCTTAACATGCCAAAGTAGAGGGGAAGTATAGTTGAGGGTTTTGCACATCCTTATTTGTTGTGTAGACCAGTGTTTTTCAACCTGGCAACTTTAAGATGTGTGGACTTCAACTCCCAGAATTCCCAAAGCCAAGGCTGAAAAACACTAGTGTAGCTGATTTAAAACAACTGACGGAAAAATAAATCCTTATTTCTAGCACTTTTTCTTTGAGATAGTTTTTGCAAGTTTGCCAATAATAATTACTGTGATTAAGACTGTCCAGCATAAAGAGACAGTTGCAGGGAACAGGTTCTTGCTTGCCCTATAGCTGACTCCATTGTAGATAGATGCTGCCCCCTCATGAGAGTTCGCTCTCCTTAGAATTACAAGAATTAGATAAAATCTTGATGGGTCAAGAAAAAGGTATGATTTCAAAATCTTATAAATTGCTCATGAAATTAGAGATAGGTGAGGAAATAGTCAAAGATTCTATGATCGCTTGGGGGAAGAATTTTGGGTACCCAATACACCTAGGTAAATGGCAAGAGATTTGGTGGGATAATATGAAATTAGTAGTATCCACGGCCTATAAAGAAAATATCTATAAAATGATATATGGGTGGCACCTGCCTCCTAATAGACTAGCTAAAATGTTCTCAGGGCAGTCGGCAGAGTGTTGGAAATGTGGAGGGGAATGTGGCACTTATTGTCACCAATGGTGGTCATGTCCGAAGGCAGTGATATTTGGGGGGAAAATTAAAAAATGGCTCAATGAGATATTAGTGTTAAAAATCGACTGGCGACCAGAGACATGCCTGCTCGGCTCCAAGCCGGAAAATATAAAAAAGGATCTATGGTATTTGGCATTACATATCATTACAGTGGCAAGACTGACATACGCGCAATTTTGGAAGAACCAAAATATCCCAACAGAGGAGGATATTATAAAAAAATTTTTGGAATGTGCGGAAGCAGATACGTTAACTAAAAAGTTACAGGATAGAGAGCAAACACAAGTAGGTTTAGCTTGGGACAAATTCTATAAATGGTTAGAAAAGAGGAATCTATAACCCACATTAGTTGAGGATTGGTATTTAAAGAGAAATTTATATTGTATAAGGTAAGTGTGGTTGGACAGACCTAAGTGATGAACTAAGAAATATAAGATGTTCTGCCTTCTCCGGAATATAATTTAGAGTTATAGTACCGAATACCTGTTCATTAAGGTACTATATGGAAGTATGTATATTTACTGTTGTACTGCTTTGTCTGTCATTTTATGTTGTTTTTTCTTTTTAAATGAAATGTAAATAAAGATTTTTTTTTTAAAAAAAAAGAGAGAGAGTTCGCTCTCCTTATTCAGGGTTTTTGTAGAACTCATAAACTGATTTGAGAAACGTGCATTTGATTTTATAAAAAAATGTGTGTGTGTGTATATATGTTATGTATGTATGTATATGTGTGTGTATGTGTGTATACACACACATATTTTAGAAACATACAAGTATGTTTTGGTAATGTTCATTTAGGAGTGCCTAGCACTCTGAGAGACTACAGCTTCATTTTGCACTTAAGAAAGACTCCTGATCCCAGTTAGCCAGAGGTCTCTGCGGGCTGTTATAGGTATCACTAGAAACTAATGTATAATGCAAATAACAATTGTTTTTTAATCATCAAAGCAAGCTGGCTGCTCAGCCTCTCCTCACCCTACCCTACCCCAGGACATTTGGACATTTTTTAAAAAATGACTCTTAAAAATGCAAATACAACCATTGAGGTCAGTAAACACAGCCTATATAGAAATTAGCTGCGCCTGAGAAAACAGGTTTTGGTGTTTGGAACTTATGGAGGGCAATGTCAGCACTGGATGGTCTGAACTGCGTGTTCTGCTGTGGGGAAGAGGGACTCTTTGACACATTTGAAATTGGAGAAAAAGTTGGAGATTTCACCATTATAAGTTAGAGAGAACAAACCACCTGGCTATAGGTTGCGTAGATGCATGCCCAGGGTGATAAAAATGTTGATATTTGAGCGCTCTCTGCTGACTGCATTGTGAATATACGAGATGGCAGGGACTGGGTTTTTTTTTAACCTTCTGTTGCAGAAATGGAAAACAAGTAAAATTATAGATACACATTCAATGTGAGTTTTGGCTCACAATACATCAGGCATTATACAGCCACCGTCAGAATGCCCTTCGGACAAAGCAAAATTAAAGCAAGTAGTTAAAATGAATGCAAGTGGCTGTTTTTAATTTATTCTCAATGTATATTAGTGCTGGGTCCAGTGCACTAAGGCAAAATACTTAGAAGAATACAAGTGAGGAATGCTAGCCTGTTTTTCACTCCTGTTCCTACTTGTTTCAGAGAATAGAGCAACTGCAGGGAATGTGAGTAGTGAGGCAGAATATCCAAAGAATCAGATAATGTTCTGGATGGATACATTTAGTAATATTATTCCAATCCAAATGTCCAAGAATGGTTGTCAGAAATGTGTGATTTATCTGCTTTGGGGAAGGCAATATTCTCTACTAATCAAAGGATGTAGCAATATGTGTTACTGTGGCACAATTCTGCCCCATTTATCAACCAACCAACCATCCCACCCACCCACCAACTCATCTATTTATAAAATCTCATTCATTTTTTCTAAGTTGAATGTTTTCCTCTTCATTTGTTTACTGAAAATTGGTGACAATGGAATAGGGAACTGGAACACAGAAAGCACAGAAGGGGTCATGCAAGATCTTTAGTAAAATCTACAAATCTACGTGTGGCCATTCAAAAGTAAGCTATGGTATCTTATAGCACAGTGATGGCTAACTTTTTTGCCATCACGTGCCAAAAGCGGGGGGGGGCTGTGCGGAGGAGCCGCGCATGCACGTGCCCACACCCATAATTCAATCTGCTCCACCACCCCCATGCATGCATGCGTGACCCTCCCATGCGACCCCCGCTTTTGGCATGTGATGGCATGGTGGGCCTGTTTTTCGCTCTCTCCAGGCTCCAGAGGCTTTCTTAGAGCCTGGGGAGGGTGAAAACAGCCTTCCCCATCCCCCCGGATGCCCTCTGGAGGCTGGAAACAGCCCGTTTCCCGACTTCCAGTGGGCCCAGAAGGTCCGAAAATCAGCTGGCCAGTGTGCACATGCGCGTTGGAGCTGAGCTAGGGCAATGCTCGCGTGCCCACAGATATGGCTCCCATGCCACCTGTGGCACGTGTGCCATAGGTTCGCCATCACGGTTATAGCATCATGGAATTGTTTGAATTATTGCCTTAAAATACAAACCTAATATGCATTGGGCATCATTTTTTTCTGTAATGTAGCTGACTTTTCATATGTAAAGAACTAAGTCACCAAAAAATAAAAGTATATTAAAAAGTAATAGTTTTAACTGCTTTCTGTGTGACACAATATATATCAACATTTCTTACATATGTAAGGCTTCATATTAAAGAAAAATCCAACTGCTGCTTGAGAAAAGCAGCAAAACGAAAACAGAAAAACATGGTTACTATTTGGGGGAAAAAATGTCGTATCAGCTGGTTGTTTTATTAAATAGCAGTCCACAAATAAGGCTAATTACAACTTTGAAATATGTTTTATTTTACGGTACGCAAAAGTTGAAATTGCCAAAAGGCATGTATTAAAATTACTCAAGGAGAAAAAAACCAAATTGCAATAATACAAGTTTGTGAAGTGTGCACATGTTTGAAAAGTGAAACAGCCACACTGATATGATGTAATACCTATACACGGATGCCTCATTGTGTCTCTCACAAATATTTGCAAATATTTATTAGCGTACAAACTGTGTAGCTCGTGTTTCTTGTGAGTATTTCAACAAGTTACTGTATTTGTTCAGTTACAGGCACAATATTTTTCTCTGAATATACTGGGCACCTTGAGTAAAAAACCACACTAGTCACTACTACCCTACAATACTTTATTGTAGCACAAAGATTACAACATCTTTTTTCAAAACATGGTTATTTCATCAAAATAAAGATTTTTTTTCACATAGATGGCTTTTGTGTAAAAAAAAAAACCCTTAAAAGCATTTAAGCAATATATCTTGAAGTTGTTCTCCCTTTTATAGTTTAAAAACAAAAATGAAAACATTAGCTTTGTAAGTTTTTTTCAAACACAAACAATATATTTAGCAGAAAACTTTACTTTGTATACCATTTAAACATTTGGCAAAACAATTCTTTAAAATAGTGCAATGTTTTTATGTCTCAGTTTTATGGATATCTCCCTTCCTCCACACTATGAAACAATAGCCAGATTTATAACAGTTGTTCAGACAGACTCTTTGGACGAATGAAAGTGAAGTAGGCACAGTCCACCAAGAATGTATGTGCAATTTTTACTAAATTAAACAGAAGCACCATTAACAACATACTTTTGTTGCAGATCTTTTTTCATTTCAAGTGGGCAAATCAATCTATATAGCAGAAAGCATCTCTGGGGTCAGTTCTATGTGCTGCTCTTGAACAGCAACCAATGGCATTAGAACACAACTTAGTTAAGGTGGGGACTGTTGCTTGTTATGGAGGAAAAGGCTCAATAAAACCTCAGGTCATGTAAATCACGGGCAGCAGGGAGTCTCCGTGGACGTGTGAGATTTTGAAAACTATTGTGAGCAAGCTCAGTAAAGAAGATGCAAAGTAGACTTGCTCATGTACAAACAGCCTCTTACAAATGCTCATTTATCCAAGATTAAATGGTGATTGTGTCATTTGATAGTTTAGCACCTTAATTTAGCTATTTGGTTTTTTTTTTCTGGAGAGATGTACATATTTCCAGATGAGGGGCTAGCCACTCATCATCTCTAAAGAATTGTCTTTGCAGCCATGTGAGTCCAGAATTACTTCCAGAAATAAAGATAATGCAGGAGAACTCTGGTATCTTATTCTTTTTTTAAAAAAAATAAATAAATGTCAAATGGTATAGTAAGTTTAACAGATATAAGGGAAGATATTGATGAGCACATTGGTGGCTACAGATATTGAATTGCTATGCAGTCTGCAAACAATGCAAATGTGGAAAATACTTCTATCACCAGGAAAGGGCCTTAACTCGGGGTAGAATGTATCCTTTTTGTGCAGAAACCCCAAATTTAATTTATGAAATGGAGACTCTTCTGCTGAAGACAAGTTTTCTACTATAAACACAGCAGAACCAGCAAATTTGTTAAAACTGGGTCCACACATTATGCTAAATCATAACCTGATTGATTTGCCTTTAGGAAGAGTATAAACTTCACTGTATGATTCATGAACCATACTTTATGGCTTAAGACAGTATGTGAACCAGGCTGCTATGACATCATTAAAATAAGATATGGGAAAGTATGATTTATGTGATTCATTTATTATTATTTTAATTTGTATGCCGCTCCACTCCGAAGACTCAGGGCGACTATATATATATATATAGTTATGAAAACTGCAAGTCCCTTGCAGGCCCTTTCCATTGATCATGATGATTCAGAATGCTGGAAACTACAATCCAAAAAATCTGGGAGACTGCAGATTTACCACCTCTGCTCTGCATTTTTATTTGGAAGTGAATCCCATGGATAATTAAGAATAGACTTTGTAAAATTGTGCTGATACAATAACTACATAAAATTATTAATTAATATTTGCTTTAAGAACAGTAGGGATGTTTTTGTGCAACTCAAAAGAATCTGAGAAAGGAAAGAAAGTCAGCTAACATATAAGGATGATAAAATAAGGAAGTTGGGGCTAGATCAGCCACCCCTATAAATTGCTAGCTGGAATGATAAGTATTAGTGTCCATTACATCTGGAGGGCACAAGTTTGGCCTAAGATCTGAGAAGTTTTTGAACTGGGTATAAATGATACTTCCCAGGAACATTCTATCCCAGCTTAGAAATTAGAAAGCTTAGAAAGTGATATTTGAGAAGCATTGTTGCCCACAGTCATTCAAATAAAGGCAATGAAAAGACTAATCAAAAAAATGGGAGAGAAAAGGCATCTATTAAGGATTTCAAAATTATGAATGAAAAAATTGAAATGAATGTAAATAAAGTTCAAAGATTTAATTTGTGCTAGAGGCTAAATTACTACTGCAGAATAACTGTATGGTCCTGGGCACATTTCCTCAGGACTTTCTTTTTACTTATACTAAAAATACTGTAAAGATAGTACTGCTGATTCTGCAACAATGACTGTATCACTGTACAGTGAAAGAAGATGGAAGTAAATATATTATAGTGAGAAGGAATCTTTAAAAATACTAAGTAGTATATGCTTGTGCAGAAGAAAAAGCTTAGGTGTGTATATATGTTTTAAGCATCAGTTTTTCAAAATAATTCAGGAAGTCAGGAAAATTTTTTACTTATATCGTAGGTATTAGTAAGAAAAGTGAATTACAGTAGTGAAGCAACTAACCCACCACCAAAAGATCTGCAACAGAAATGCTATTGGGTGGGGGGGGGGATCTATTTTCCAAAGACAATAGTTATTGATGCATTTTCAGATGATTCTACTATAATGAATACACTATCCTAAAGAGTATCATAGTTATTCCTAGAAATGACTTGTTTGAAAACAAAATATTAGCAGAAAGCAAGAAATAGTTTCAACAACAGCTGACCTTTAAGGATGACTCCCAAGTGACTAGGCTTTGTTTACCCTAAAGATGTATATTTTCTAACCTTCAAAACAGTTGTTGTAAGAGTTACCGCCAGGGCAAAGTGCATGACATGCTTTTTCCTAGCTCAGTCAGAAGTTGGGGGAGTTCCTGAGGAGTAAAAATTACTTAAGCCCCTCTGTTGCAATTTTTTTTTGCTTAGATAAAAGTACCTAATCTTTATATTTTTAAATAAACTCTCTGAAAAATGTGTGTGCGTGTGTTTGTTTGTTTTCAATGAACAGAGGAGGAGAAATCCTGCAAAAACTAAAATCCAATCCTTAGGCAATTTCTCCCCCATGGCCCTCATGACTTTTGCTGGGTAATTTGTCAATCCCAACAAAAATATAATTGTGGCTGGACTGGAAACTGGACCATTTTTCTAAATATAGCACCCGGCCCACAGATATATGTGTAAAATCTGTAACTGTTAAAATAATCTGAGCTTTACTGAATACTAGGTATAAAAATAGTGCATATATGAATCTGTTTTTCCCAGTTGTTCAGCCTAATGAGGAGACATTGGGGGGGGGAGGGGGGAAGAGAATAGAAATGTTTGTTGGGACATTTAGAAGTCAAAATGTCTTCTTCCCTCTGTACTTAGCAGTCAAATCCTTGGAACTGCTCCCCAGTCACTACCCTCAAATTCGAGAAGAGGGAAACCATTATACTAATTGTAATTCTGTATTTAAATGAAAGCATCCTCCACAATCTGCTGTATTTGTGATTCGTAGGGGAAAAAAGCATCTGACATGTCAAAAGCCAATAGCACTAAATGCAGGAGCTTGTAGGTAAGCAAGCATCTTGCAACAAGGCAAATTGAAAAAGCTGGAAGTAAGTGGTTAGGCATAGAACAAAGGCTCCAGAGCACTTGGGCAGGGTTAGGCTGCATTGCATCGAAGGCTCAAAGAAAGCTCCCAAAGTGAATGCCTCTTTTACACAGAATGCTGCATATAGGCACGTAACCTGGAAGTCAAATGCAGGCATAAGCATACTGTTTATCTTGGAAGCAGCAAAGAATAAAAGTAAATCAGACACTAAATGACAAGACTTTGAATAAGGCTTACTCTTCTCCATAGCTCAGTCCCTTCTTGTCCCAGATACCAAAAGGCTTCTAGACAAGAAGGGCAGTGTATTACATTCTGGGAGGAGGAGGAAACAGAAGGAGGGTTCCTAGTATAAATGAAATGATAGCTTGGCAGAAGGAGACAGTATGCAAAAGCGGAAAGCCTGAGGCAAGCTTCTCAGAAGAGCAGATGGAAAATAAAGCGATACACTCTACTGCCTTCCCCGCATGGGCAAGAGGAGAAACAGCACTTACTGTCCCTCAGGTACCTTACCCTCTCAGCCAGAGGTTCCCCCACAGGGTGAGGAAACCCATTCTTACAGCAGCTACAAACTCGCTCAGGGAAGGGCTTCTAATATTTCACAGTTGCCTCATGGTCTCTCCAGGGAAGGGGCAGGATCAAGACTGATTATGGGAGATCCACTGGCTGTCAATGGGGCGCCTCAGCAATTCCTCCACATGTCGTGCCACATCCATTGAATCATCCAAGTCGAATTCTCCTTCTGGATCCAGCACAGAGTCAGGACTGAGAAAAAGAGAGAAAGAGCATCATGAAAAAACTCTGAATTCTAAAAAAGATACTTCTGAAAACATTCTCAAGAGGCTGTTTGGAAGGAACTCTAACAATCTGGTTTTAGAAAAATATGTAGTCCTCTCAAATTCATTCATTTCCCCCTCCAGTTTAGAGAGGGGAGGGGAAGTGACTTTTCCTAATTCTTTAATTTTTTTTTTTTAATTTTCATGGATATGATTTTTTTATGTTTTCATCTTTGTTCTTATTAGGGAAATACTAACAAATGGGATAAGGTAAGGTGAAATATTGCCCATACAGTTAAGATTACAGACTATAGTTGCAGCAAAAGCAAATGAGAAAAGTCTAAATTGAATGAATTTACTATTTTAGACTGTGATAAGTGGGTTTAGGATCACTTTAAAAAGATGATCTTTTGCATTAAAAAGAAATCTCATGTAAATTTCAAAAATATTTTAATAGGAAATGGTAAGATGCAGTGCAAAGGTGTTGATTAAAGGAGTTCAAAATGATTTGTGTGGAAAGTTGAAGGACACACTCCCAAAGTATGCACACTTCCAAAGACAGAAAACATGGGAAAGGCATTGCAAGAGTAAATGAATGTCTTAAGAACTTGTAAAGCTTAAGGTATATTATTTAGCCCTAAAAAATCACTCCCCAAGTGGCAAAATATCTTCTCCATAGGACTTACATCTGAGCTCCATAATTCTGGGGAATCTCTGGGGATCGTGAGATGTTGATATGCCACACTTTTTATGCCTCTTCATTTTCTCCTAGCTTATTATTTTTCCTTTCTGTACAGGGATAGCATTCAAAAATAGAACACCTACTACAAGTCTATACAACCTCTGTCCATGAGAGGCAGTAACCGATTGGAGATTTGAGCTGGCAGAACTACCTTTGCAATGTTTGCCACTGTGATGTCTAGGAACATTTCCCATGCTATGTCCTTCCCATAAATCACATTGTTCTCCAAATAGCTGTTTAGTGGTAATTTAAATCAGGAGATTTAGGAAAGCTCTCACTAGTGGTGTCCACAGAGGGAACAAGGGACTTGTCAAAATGATGCAAACAGCACTTCAATGCAGGTATTATCCCTTTTCTGAGTGCATCAAGAAAGGGGTGACACCCAGCACAATGCTCTGAGACTGCTTTCATTATTCTGATGAAAGCAGCAAGAACCCAAAGAGAGACTATTGTCTCTTCTCAAATGCAATTCTTCTTGTTAAGAATATTAATATTCTTATTTTATTCTTAGTCTTATATATTTCGTCCCCCATCCAGGGGACTTAAGAATGCCTCAGTCTGTTCCAACCCCAATTAACTAGGCAGTGATATGACAGCAACCTCTGTCTTAAAGCGGATTAGGAACATGCAAATGGAATATTTATGTTGTGAGACTAGTATGTTTTCAACTATAAAATGCAAGACACTACAAAGCAGAGAACTTTCAATGGTAAAGGTCTTGCCTCACTTACTTTTGTGTGTACATGTTGTAGTGAGGAGCAGTAGGGCAAACAGCCGGTGATGATGCTTGTTCCATGTAGGAAGCCCCTACACTCATAGCATCTCCTGAAGAGGCAGCAAACCTACAACAGATGGGGCAGAAACAGAGAAAGATTTTTGCCTGATACCAATGGATCCTTCAGTGGTAAGAAGAACATAAACTATTTGGGCTTGATTTTATGGAAAGCAGGAATACACATTTCAGATTCCTTCCTTGATATAAATATCCACACTCAACCTGGTATGAAAAGAATCAGAAAGCAGAGACATAACTGCACAGAGGATCAAACTTCTTTTTTTAGAAAATGCAATCATCAAGCTACAACGCCTTAACATTATCAACTTTTTCTCAGTCCTACCTTTGCACTGAAGCTAGCAAAATGGAAACTGGATTTATGTTGCTTGCTTCAAGTTTTTAAAATCATAAATCCTCCTTGGGAGGTGCAATATCTAAAGCTAAAAATGGGAGGTGCAATATCTAAAGCTAAAAATTATTGCACTCCTAGCTGAAAAGAGAACTGAAAAGAGAACTGGGGGGGAGGGGGGAAGAATTCCAGTTGAAAGTAAATAGGTACCATTTCTTCCCTATTTCGCTCTCCCTTTAAAAGAATCAAAATGCATTTTCTCAACCCACAATACTTACTCTGGCACAACTTGCTTGATCTGCGGCTTTACATATCCATCTATAGCCTTTGCTGCAAAAAAAAAGGAGTTGGGGTATGTGAGAATGAAGTATATAGTTACCGTACAAGACAAACTTCATTTAGGAATCCTTTTTGGAAATAGTAGTAATCTGGTATTCTTTTTCATTTTAATTACATGCATGTTGAAACCCTTCCCCAAGGAGGAATGAATTAATTTGGCTTGTCTGTTTTGCTTGTACAATATTCATTCCGAAAGCTACACCATTCCCTTTCCTTGTTGATCTACAAATCTTTTATTGAGAAAAATCCATGTTAAAGATTTGCATATAACTATTTTTCAAAACTGCTCAAAATGATTAAGTAAATTGAAACACAGTTTATCCTTCTCAAACATTCAACTGTAAAAACAGTCACTGACCTGGTCATTAAAGAGAACTTTTCCTTCCTCACCAAACAGAAAAAGAAAAACTAGTCATGAAAAATATCTGTTTTACTTCAATTAATCACCTTAATCACTATCTCCGTCTTTTAGAGAAATATGCAGTTCCAATCTAGCGGTACCACTGCCTTCTCTCTTTGCATTAGCATTTACCTCTCTTTTTAATAATGCATTTAAAAAACATTTTCTGATAGTATCCTGTAATACCAGATATGTTTCTAAAATTATGTATGTCATTGTAATACAATTTATATGATCAAAGAAAAAAGGATTTGAAATTGTCTAGATTCCTCTGCTGGGAATGAAAGGGTCATATGTATCAATTGGAAAAGACAACACTCAGAAAAAAAATAGGCACTTTTCTGCAATTACCTGAAGTGATTGGCATATAATATTTGGAGAAAACTTCTTCCTTGGATCTATCAGGATACACAAAAGTGAGATATGGGAGGTCACCAAGGCGATCTGCCAGGGAGCGGATGGAGAAGTCACGGGTGGTGAAGGGCATTAAGTTCCAGAACATTCTCTCAGCTGCAAAAATCCCAGATCATAATCAGATATATGCTCAATATATTCTGATCCAATGTTCTCATAGTGATCAAAATAGGCATTAGTGTTGTTGAAAAAGAATTTACCATTTTCAAACTTCCAGGCAACTGTGATCCCTCCAATTTCGGAGTCGCTGAATCTCAAGAGGAAAGTACCATCTGGTTTGCTGATTAGCAAATCATGTGCTTGCTGCTTGTTGATAAAACCTAGAATAGCCCTAGAGAAGTGGAAGCAATAGAGAGAAATCAACCAGCAAAGTATCTAGGCAGGGAAAAATAAATTGAAGGGGAATGGGGGATAGGACTCTTACCCATCATTCCAGTGAGGCTTCAGATGTTTCTTTAGGACTTCCATCACTCCATCAAACCATTGCCAGAATGTATAATTGCGCCCTGGAAGATTTTCCTGGTTAAATGAAAAGAAAGAAAAACATGGTTCTAGAATCTTTCTTTGGTTGTTGGCGGTCTTTATGTTTTTTCTGATCCTACCCTAGTATATTAGAGAAGGAATAGCTTTATAGTAAAATACACAAGCAATCATATTCATCAGAAACATAATACATGTTCTTTTGAGCTTAAGTGATTTCAAATTGATGGAATGAAAATTGGAAAAACTTTGAAGCCTCCATGGATTTGAATGACTAATCACAGGAGATTTTCATTTATTTTTATTATTTATCACTGCACTGTTGAGTGATTGTTTCTCAATTTTTAAAAGGAATTCAGTTAGTTGCCTGTAGTTGATTAAGTTGTACAAAATTCATGCATGCAGTAAACTACATGTTTTATATACAGTCCCCAAATATATTTCTGCTGATGCAAGAAGACAGTTCATATGGTGAGATAGTATTTAAACTATTTCAATAAGATTTTGATGTATATCTAATGAAACTAATAAATTGAAGTTGTTCTGTAAGGAGGAATGTGCTATACTTCCTCCAAGCTTACATGCTTTAAATGATTTTTCTCAATAAATAAATGAACAAGTTTAATATTTTGATCATTTATTTAATTGGATTTTCTTTATCTAATTTTAAGACTTGTGTGGAGAATAGAGCATGTTTTAGGCCATATTTATGCAGAAATATCAAAAATTCAAAAGGTTTCACAAACTTTTAAGCATAACTTTTTACCTTTTTTTTCACCTGATTGTGGGCATCTTTTATTTTGATATTTTTAATACAACTTTTGTATCATCTGTACATCCTAATCTGTTCTTCCCTTAGAGTGACTTATTATTTAATTGATTAATTCTGAGTCCGTCTTGAAAACAAACAATCTTCACGTTTAATGGGAGCCTATTTAATGTCAAGAATGAGCTCTGAGGTAAGAAATTCAGAGTTCAAAACTCACTGTCTGATTAATACATCTTTAGTCTACATTATGCAAGAAATAGCATTCCTGAGCATTCTCCCTTTTGGAGATCAAGGACTGAGATGAAGAGATTACCAAAAAGCCCAAGAAAAAGCAAGAAACTGAACTTCAACATTAGGTAAATTTTGTTCTCTTTATAAAAAACTTTTTCCCCCTGTATAAAAAAAAGGTTCTCAGTAAGACCATCAACAGATTAAGTTCTTTTAATAAAATGATGGTTATAAGAACACAGAGATGTTCTTTTGGAAATGGCATGGAATAAATCTGCATTCACATGACTCGCTGTTTACTGTATCAGCTGCATGTGTAGCTCCAAGACAGTTCAGGATTACATTTACAAACTGAATTGTCTCTTTTTTATCTCAAATGCAGAATGAGCAGCAGAGAGAAAAAAGAGAACACATGATAGTGATGCTGATGGGAAACGAAGGGGAGGGGGGAAGACTGGGGAGAAAGTTATGGTGATGGAAAAGGCGTGCAGGCCAAACTACTTCCCACAAAGTGGTTTTCTGGCAAATCTGGTTATTAATTGGTTTCTTATTTACCCTGTTGAACTGAGCCCAGGAGACAGTCATATTGTTATAATCTTCCAGATGATTCATGCTGCTATTGAAGAGCTTTTGGGCAAGAAAGAGGAGGTTCTCTTTGGTGAGTCCACGACTGCTCTGGACTTCAGACTTGAACTTCATGTTGAGAGCCTCACACAACTGGGACCACATCACTTTGTCTGGCACAGCAAAGGGCACACGTCCTGGCTCTGCAAAAGCGTTGTCCCACAGCACTGTGGCAGTGGCATTATTATCCTGGCTGCCATGCACAATTACCACCACTGGCAGGGATAATGTCTTCACCTGGAATACCAGCTCATTGCCACCTACACTGAAATGAGACTCAAAGAGAATGGTGAACTTCTCCTCAGTCACTGACTCAGCACCACGACGATCTGAACGCTTGATCCGCTTCAAGGACTAAGGATGGATGAGATAATAGAGGGAGACACAAGAAATAGGAAACAGTTCACAAATTGTCTACATATCACTCAGATTAAAAACTGTAAATGTGAACAGGAACTCAGCTATATACTCAGGCTGATCTTCCGAGGGAAATTTTCTTAGTAACTTTACTTTCCACACCTGTTATTAAAAGCTAAATCTAGAATTAGTCTTTAGGAGATGTGAGACTACAATAGATAATGAGGCTTTCCTCCTTAGTTACATTTTCAATAGGAAAAACAACAGTGAGATGTGAAGCTGGAGGTAGATAGTATGAATCACGAAGACATCTCTCACCATGTTGCGGAAATGAGCACTCAGTGTTCCAGTTGCCTGATGATATTCCATAACACAGGAATTGTTCAAGATATCACCACTGGACTCACTGCCAAAAGAAAGAAATGGCAGCTAGTTGAATGCAAGCCAGTATACCACTGGTGATTTACTATCTTCCACTGAGACTGTTAATTTTGCACTGTGGATATACCAATGATATGGCTCCATCCAGTGGAGATTTTAGATTGGTTCTCATGGCTTCATAAAAATCTGCTTTTCAAAATTATGACATCTATTACAAGCAAATGAATGTACAATGCACACTGAATTACCTAAAACCAAGCAGCCACTTTTTGCTCTGTTGCCCTTGTCTTTAGGTAAGCTTAAATGTTTCCTATAATGTTGATCAAATTTCTACCTCAGGAGAAAGTTTTCTCCAACCAAATTCTGACAAACTGTAACAAGGATATAAGTAATGAAAGTTGGCTTAATCACACATTGTAAGAGTGGCAAAGAAGTCAAATAAGGCTAAAAGCTTTCAATCCTGAGAGCTGGGTTGAAATTCAGACTTTCTTGCCCTTAATTCTTTAGCATCCTGGATAAACAGTGAAAGTATCTTGCCAATTTAATTTTCAGTTACAATAATTATGTTTTTATTTAAGAATATTAATGGTATATTTCTATGTATTAATTTCTACTCTTCACATCTTCTGACATCTTCTGACTTTTCTTAGTGCAGCATCCTTCAGAAGTGTTGGGGCTGGAAACCTGCACTTATGGAGGATAGTAAGCAGTAAGAAAACTGGTTCAGGAGAAATGGATTCTGTCCTCCTTCCCTTTGCTTCTTTAGCCTTAATAAACATACATACTTGCGGGTACTCTCATTCTTCAGTAGGGCTTTGGCTTGCAGCTCACTGATGATGGTGGCCTTTACTTGTGGTGGGTTCATGTGAACATTTAACTTTCCACCAACCAGCAGTCTTACTGTCGCTGCAAACTTAGTCTGGGTCTTTAGCACCTGTGGAGGCTGCTTTTCTATTATGAATGTGCTATAAGAAGAGGAAAGGGAGAGGAAAGACCAAGTCATTAGTTACAGAAGGTGAAAAATAATGCAAAAATAAATGTGCTAGCTTTTGTGACTCAGTATATACATCTCATCAGCAAAGAAAACAATGGCAAACTACAAACCCCCATGAATAAAAATACACACTCACATACACATATCAATAAAGTACAAGTGGACCTTTACTTATGAACAGAACAGGGACTGGAATTTTGGCCACTAAGTCATATGGTCTATCAGCAAGTCACATGACCGAACCCAATTTTGCAACCATTTTTACTGTGGTCATTAAGTGAATGAAGGAAACCCAGCTTCCCCAATTGACTTTGCTTATCAGAAGTTGGCTGGGAAGATTGCAAATTGCAATTTTCATGACTGCTAGATACTGCAATTATAATAAAACAAGAGCCCAAATTGTGATCACATGACTTGGGTGGTACAACAGTTGTAATTTTGAGGATGGGTCATTGATCACTTTTTTTGAGGCCATAACTTTGAACTCTCATTAAACAAATCGTCTTAAATCAAGGACTAATTTTACTCAAATATCATAGCAACAACCCACAACAGGCAAAAGAAGTTGTGTAATAACCTATTAGACAAGCAAAAAGGCTTAAATAACTAAGAACCAGAAATAGACTATCTATATAGCATATTCAAGTGCAATAGATACCAAAGCAATAAAAAAGCATTTATTCAAACAATCAATCCATCCCTTGAAGAAGAAAATTCTTGCATATCAAAAATATCTCAGTAACTACCCACAGATTATTACACACCTTGTAGGAAGCAAGTATATCTAACAACACAATCCTACCTAGTGACTAGTGCAGAAATTATGTCTGTGACGGTGCCATTAACATCTGAGAGCAACTCTTCAATTGGTCCAGGAATAGGCAGCTGCTGGTACAAGTGTTCAGCACGGCGTACTTGTTGGCGGTTCTGGCAAATGAATTCAGCCAGTTTTTCACACCTAGGGAAAAAACTCATTGTATTCTAGTTTGTCAGAAACAAAGAAGAATCCTGTGGCATCTGAAAGATTAACACATTAATTCTTGAAAGACTAACAACTTTAGAATTAGGAAAAGAAGAGGGGGCATGTATATAAGGATTAGTGAGGCCTAGGGAAAGAAATATGTGATGGGGAGCACAAAAAGCCTTAGGGAAAATGATCCCAACACATATTTCCTAATGATGTCAAGACATGCTATCTTCAACCATTATACTGAATATTTATGAATGTTGTTTTAAAAAACAGGCAAAGCTCAAACTGCCTAAAACCACACTATCTGACAGCTACTTCAGATTATAAATTCAAGAGAAGTATTGTATTATACACAGACTATGGGCTAGTTTTTGCAATTTTTTTTTTACTATCCATCATTATTGCTTATTATTTGGGTTCAATTAAATTAGGATATCGGATCAATCCTATAATATTGTTGTTTTGCATTTCAAGAGATAATCATATAAAAATAAATGGCCCTGTCAAATTATGTTGTGTAGTAGCCATGTATGGTTGTTAAGTATGGTTTTTAATTTGATTATTTCATTTGCTTGTGGATTTTTAATGTTATGAATATGCTGCACAATGTAATTGTTGCATCAACCATGAATTTAATTTGAATTAGCACTGAGCCTGAAGACATAAAGAAAAGGCAGGGATGAGGATATTTTAGAAAGGGTTCCAAATTCAGATTAATAGTAATCTCCTTTTCCGGTTTTTTTTTTTGGTCAATCTATGGGTCAGGATGCAATTCTGAAAATTCTACAGAAAAGATATCAGGAAGTAGGGACTAGCTATAGCAGCCATTATGTTAAGCTGAATGCAAGTACTCTTGTGACCTATCACTGGCACTCCTTTCTGTAAGGAGTGAAAAACATTCATCTTATATAGAATGGGATTGGTAGAAATCTTTTACAGATATAACTTGCAAGTAGTCCTCACTTGATTATTGTTTGTTCAGCGACTGTTGGAAGTTACAATGGTGCTGAATGAGTTGTACTTACAAATGCAACTCAAAGTTACAGCCATTGAAGCATACCAGTAATCAAAATTTGGGTGCTTGGCAGCCTGCCTACATTTATGACTGCAGAATATGTTTCAACTCCCCCCACCTGGCTATCTTCCCCCACTTCTGTCCTTTTGGTTGTCCTGCACTCTGCACAAGGAGGGCCTACAAGGGGAGGAAGAAGATGGTGAAGGTGAATTGGAGGCTGAAAGGGGTAGTGATGGAGAGCAGGAGTAAGCAGTGCAGTGCAGTGCAGTGCAACCAAAAGAGCAGAGCTGGGGAAGAGATAGGTGAGTGGAGGAAGTTAAAGCAGAGGTGAGCACAAGGCAGAGAAGCCTGACTTCAAGAGAGCTGGACTTATTATGTGGTAACATAATGATTCTAAGTTGATGACGTGCTTAATTCCCTGCACCCCACCCCATTCCGCCTGCTCTTCTCCTACATCCTTTTTCTCTCTAACCCCCTGTTCCCTCTCATGCTCTCTACCATGCTTGCAGGCCATCTAAAGGCCCCTCAGGGGGACCACCATTTCCTGCTAGTTGCTGCCTCCTCTTCCACTGGATCAACTCATCATCCAAGATTATAGTCTGCTGCTTGCGAAGCAAAGCCAGTGTCTGCTGGTGCTTTTCAGCCAGTTCCTGAGGAGTACAAAAATCATTTTGAATTTGGTATTAACAATAACAACAACAACAAAAGCCTAATAGGAAAGAAAGTAGAAAGTCAGAATTAGGACTTGGGAGGATATGACTTACTACACGATACTGTTGCAGTGTCTGAGCCTCCCGGTGTAGCCAAGCTTCCAGGGATGACTTCTTTTGCTGTAAAGTAGGCTCACGGACCATACGTTCCTGAGGGGTTAGCTGAGAGAGCTGACTAAATTGGGCTGGAAAGGAAGCATAAAATTAATCCTTGCCTTAAGTTTACCTCAATCGGCTCTCAACTCTCACGTACCAGAAGAGAGTTCCTTCGTTCAAGTTTATCTGTTTGGTTGTTTTAGAGGTAGTCCTCAACATATTGCCCATTATGATTGTACTTTACAATGGTTGTTAAACTGATTGGTCATATGACTGACCCACTCTTACAACATATTTTGTGGCAGCCATTAAGTGAATACCACAGTTGCAAAGTGAACATCAGGGATGTTAGGTGAATTCCTTAACATTCATTAAGCAAACCAGTGGTTCACTATGGATGCAATTTTGCCAAAAAACAGAAGTGCCAGTTTTCAGCAAAATCATTGTAAAACATGGTTATATGATGCTGCCTGAGTGCCTTAGGGCACAGCTGAGTGCCCTAAATTCAGTCACATGACCATGGAAGGGAATCTGATTGTCAGAATCCAGGTTGTAAATCCCATTTTTTTAGGTCAATCATAATTTTGAACAATCACTAACTGGCTGTAAGTCAAGACCTACCTGTACTACTTTTTTAAAAAATGCAGTTAAAGAACATTGAAAGGCATCCCATACATCCAGCTGACTTCACTTTAAACTGGTTCTGCAGAATTTTCAACAGAGGTCTGTTCTAATGCTACCAGGAGATGCCAGAGTTGACAATGGAGTGTTTCATATCCAAATGTATGTTCTATTACTCCATCATTTGTATTATGAAGACTGGATATTAGTATTAGTATTAGAACTAAAACAGTGGTGAAATGTAAAATTTGTTACTACCGGTTCTGTGGGCATGGCTTGGAAGGGGGTGTGTAATGTGATTGGGTGGACGTGGCCAGCTTTTTTTTTTTTTTACTTTTAAAAGCATTTTTTCTACAACCTCTTCAGCCGAAGCTGGGCATGGGGGGGGGGGGGGGGGGGGGGCAGGAATTTTTGCTACCGGTTATCTGAACCACCCGCCGCCATCACTACCCGATTGGGTGATCCAGTCCAAAACTGGAAGCATTTCACTCCTGAACTACAATCTTGGAAATGACATACTATTCCTCCTCTATTCCCACAGATATACCTTGCAGATGAAGACTCTCTTGATATTGGATGATGAAATATTCCTGATGCTGCTGAAGCTTTTTCAGCTGGTTCTCAGTGTCCTGGGTGAAGAGGCGTAATTCATCAAAAGTCTGGTTGATCTGAAGATGCTTCTGAGTCACGGCGTCAGCCATGCTACTGGCCAGTAAAGGGCTCTGTAAATAAGGAAATTTAAGAATTAAAAAAAGTATGGATAAATATATATATATATATATATATATATTTGGCCATATTAAGAATATAGGAAGGAGAAACATTTATGTAAAAGTAAATCATACCCACATTTCTAGCCTCTCGCACTAGACGTTGTTCGTGGTATAGGATGTGTCGAATGCAGCGTACTAACTCCAGAGGGCAGTGTTTATATGTATTCTGTAAAGAAAGAGTAAACAACCTAAGATAGAGTGGGAAACTAGCCTTTCATTCACAGCAATGTTTGAAAACACCATCTTTTACTTTCCAAATTCCCAGCCTCTGTAACTCACCTGTAGCTGAGTGGCGTAATGACCAAGTTTGATCTTTAGAAGGAAGCCGTCCTCACCCACTTGGTGCTCTGCCTTTTTTTGAAGTTCCTGAATCAGTCCATCCAACAATTGCGCAGCTCTGACACCCTCCTGAGGATTGTCAAGATCTATGGAATCCCTGAAAATTGGGTCACAAAGCAGAAGGATATGTGCATAAAAATGTTGAGGACAATAAAGGAACCTTTCATATAATCTGCGTCAAAATGAGAAGGCAAAGACAGCATATGTTGCTATTTCTGGATATTCATACAATAGGCAGAAATTCTAGGTAGTCCATGAATTATGGCCACAACTGGAATCATAATTTTCATCAATAAGCAATGTGATGTAAAATGTGATGTCATGTGAATGCATTGCTTGATGATGGTTATCACTGCAGTGAGGTAATCTGAGGGGAGAAAACCTTATTCAAGACCAGAACAATAGAACTAAAATAACATGCTTCCTGTATAATGTAAGACAAAGGTTTATTTCAATTATAAAAGATTAATATCCCATTCCATATCATCCCTCTGCAAGGCTGAAAATGCTGCTGGACAACCAGGTTTTCACACTCATTTACCATGGCTGGGCTTCAATCCACTGGGAGAGGTAATGGCGAACCTCGATAGGGAAATGTTGTCCGTATAGGGCCTGCATTTGTCTTAGAGCATCTCCTTGAAGTTGTTGAGCTTGGATCCACACTGCCATAACTTAGCACCTCCTAATGAAAACAAGGAAAAGCATAAATGCATTGATTTTGGATTTTTTTCCAATCCCTTAATAATGCTGCTGCTCTGGGTCTGGTGGCTAAGAGTGAGGAAGAAACATTCCTTAGAAAGGAAAACTCAGTAGCATTCTTAGCTGCTGCCCAAAAATCATACGGATTTTTTCAATCATAGGGATTTTTGCTGTCTCTGATATTTTAGTCAATTTTAGTCTATAGACCCTTTTTCAGCTTGTCTTGTCCCGGTCCGTGCGAAAGGGAAAAAAATGAACATGAAACGCCCCCAACCAGGAAGTTCCAAATCCAAGAAGGAAGCCTGGATGTGTCCACATGTGGCTCGACACCCTTGCTGCATTCATTTAAATTAGAGAAACAGACCAGCAATAATAAGTAAATATACCTACTTCTGTTCAAAGAAACATCTAATTTCTACAGAAAGGAATTGACATGAGATGAGATGCGGTGATAAATAGTCCCACACTACAAATTATACAGAAACACAATGTGCTGTGATGATGCGGAGTGAAAAGAAAATTGTGCAAAAACTTTAAACTGAGTACGTAAGTGTACCATAAGGTGTAGAGCTTAGAATACCAATAAATTACCTGATATGGGAATGGAAGTAAAAGTTAAATTGTTATAAGCCACCTAGAGGCATTTTGGGTGATCTTGGCAAGGACTTTTATAGATCATTCATCTATAATGTTGATATATACATTTGGATCTGGCACCTGTCTAACAGAAGTTGCATCAAACATCAGACAGATTACAACAGTGAGTCACAAGGCTTAATACAAGCCATTGCCCACAAGTACTTACACTTCTACAATAGCAATTTATGCCTATAGCTTTTGCGGCTGTTTCCCAGCTGCACTGACAGGAAGAAACAGTTTCCTTCCAAAAGATCAGCTGTCTCCAGCAGCCTGCTTTCTCCCCCAATCATTCAACAGCAACATCCACCCACATGCTTTTAGGTGTCTAGCAAGAGTGCCAGAAACTATTGGATATGTTACTGAAAGAATGAGTTGGGGAAAAATTTGCTTGATGTTTATTGTAAAGGCAAGAAAAACCTAGGAATAAATAAAGTACAACTGATGGAAAAAGAGAAAATCTCCTGAAATAGTCTTAAGTTTTGAAAATATTTATCTTTAACATTATGATTCATTTTAAGTCAGGTCTATTTTCTAAATTTCTTACAAATTTATAATATCTAAGTATTTCTTAGGTATTGCTTAAGAAGCAAGTATTTCTTGCTTCTTAAAATACCTAATTAACATGTTACTATCATCCAAAGTTAGTTTACTATATTCTTTATATTGAAAAGTAACATAGAAAACCCTTGATCCAACAAAATCAAATCATTTGTTTCACAGAATTATCCCAATAAACAGGTATTCTAGTTTCATCAAGAGAGCTTCTATTGTCCATTGATTCCAGAAAATAGCTTAGATTTCATTAGAATAGTGCTAAAGCAACTACATCACCACAATAGCATCATGTGACTTATCATGATAGTCTTCGTTAACTTGGACATGGGCGTGGCCAGCACATCCGACCCATGGGCTGGGAGTTGGACAGCCCTGTGCTAAAGGAATGACTCTGAAAAAAGTGAGCTTTTCAACTTTATATCCCCTTCCCAAGTAGGAAGAAATTTGAATAGATCTCTAAAACCTAGGAAGAAGAAAGTGCTTCTATCTAATGTTTATTTCTTTAGTCACCTGCAACAAAGTTAAACCTATTAATCAGGGGAGAGAATTTAACAGAGATGTTTTCAAATCAGAAAACTTATGCCAGAGTAGAGTTGGAAAAATCAGCTCCTGCTAACTTCCTTCTAGTGCTGCTTCTCTATTTCAAAGTCAGTGATTGTATTCCTGAAACTAAAAATTGAAGGTAACATATTTTTAAAAATTAAATAATGGATTTGACAGAGGCAACAGTTATTTGCTGTACTCAAAAAATCAAATATATACAGATAAGCTACCTACCTATCCCCATAATATTAAGCTTTTTGGGGGGAAGAGGACAGAAGAGAAATAGAGAATAGCATATCTTACAAGATGTTTTCCAAAAGCAAACCCAAGGGGAAGTTTTTCAAAAGTTACAGTTCCTAAACATTAAACCCAGTTCCAACAAAGTTGGAGGAAACTTTCTTGTAAACCAGAATGAACGTTTCTTTTCCTTATTAGCAAATTCACCTGAAAAACAAACACTGGAATTGTAAAGACATTTAGTTAGTAAGAATACAATGCTATCCAAAGTTGAATCTGAAGTTGTATCCACCTACAAATGAGAAGCAAGAAATCAAATTTTACTTACATATTGATGAAATTTCCTCCCCTTGGAGGTACCTGAATGAAATGAAGTTGACCAATTATTATTCACTCTGCAGCTACTGTTGCAGTGAGACCTTTCCCCTTTACTTCTTCTCAGCCAATATTTGGCCAAAGATTGAGCACACTGGTTGCAGAAGACTGTTGCACTCAAAGATTGAGTACACTGGCTGTAGAAGGCTGCTGCACTCAAGCAAGTCGCTAGCACTCAACTAAGTCCGTAGCTCTCGCTCTCTGCTTTATAAGCTGAAATTCGTCCTTCAGAAGAAGAGTACTTTTGCAAATATGTACATTCAAGGATTCTTAAAGAGCTAAGACAGATTAAATTCGAAATTACAGTACTAGGAAAAGCTTGTCTGGGCAATATTCCAAGGCTACACTGGTGACAAAACAATCTTTCCTTACTGTCATAGTACAGAATGGACTTGATAATGCATTTTGTTTTGGGTTTAGATATATGAAAATTAACTTTTTTGCCAATGCTTCCTAAAATGTGGGCCATAAGCCACAGGGGCTGCAGTTACTGTAGAAGGTCCATGGATCTTTTGCCTGCAATGAGATGGAAAGGAGAGAAATACTGTCTAAGTCTAGCAGAACACTAGAGGGAGATGGGAAGCAAAAGTATCATCCCATATTCCCTTTAGGCTGCACGTATGTGCTACTTTATACATTATTTACTGGGACAAAGTTTGCCAAGAAGACTATACAGAGTTACTTATATTAGCCTAACTATTCTTTCCTTTGGCTTACTCTATAAATCCCTCTCTCACTCCACTGAGCCCAGCCCCATTTTTTGAGGTCCCATTTGTTGGTTCACAGACCTAGCTCTTGGATCTGTGCAGGGAGGAAGGGAGAGGTACCCATTCTAAAGAGGCAAGCAAGAATTTACAAGTAGTACTAGTTTAGCAACCAGAATTAGAACCAACAACTCGGTTGTTAAACAAAGAAGTCATTAAGTGAAACTGCGACTATGTTCATGATCTTACTTCAGTTGCCTTTGGCTTTCAAGTCCTATAAAGGTTATAAATGTGATGATTGTTGTAAAGTTATTTTTTCATCACTATCATAACTGTGAACAGTTGCTAAATGAAGTGGTTGATAAACAAGCCCTATCTGTAATTAGTTCTACTATTGCTGCGATCCTGATACAAATATGTAGATCAGACTCAGCAGTTGTTATTTTTCAAAGCAAACATCACCATCAGAGGAGGCATTTTCCTTAATGAGGAAGGAAAAACTGGTCAACTTGTGGTTTTAATAACAAATTTTTGTACGCAAATTCTGGTTTTTTATGACTCCAGCAAGAAATATAGATAAAAACTTTAGATCTGCTGTATAGCCAATTACAGCACAATGAAAAGACCAGCATTCACAAGATGTTCTAATTAAATATTGTGGCATAATAAATAAGAAAATATATTCCTCTAGACTGAATTCAATTAGTATTGTGACTAATAAAATACAAATTAAAGTGTTACTTTTTAATTTGCAATAGCTTTGGTCATTGTATTTTATTTCAATCACCAGATACCAAAAGTACAAGTGAAGCATTAGAAGGTATCTTATTGAAATACTTGGGAAGCCTAATTACATGTTACTATAGCTGCCTTATTTGTTGCTTCCTCACTCCATCATTCTGGTAAATGAGATACTTACATGTAGCCCTTTACATGTAGATTAAAGTACCAATCATGAGAATCAAGATTGACCTTATTGTAACATTACAGTAATGAAATTCTAAAAGTATCTTTTCCTACCCTTACTTTTTATTTTCCTGAAAATCAGGGAAAGCTTTATTTCTTAGAAGCTTTATTCATCCCTACCTGTCCTTTGGGCTCAGTTTTTTACTGGGCTGTGGGCACTTCCTCCTGGTTCCCAAGGTGATTTCCACATAGCATTAGACATTCATTTAGAATTCTGAAAATATACTGTGGATATCCTCACAAAATGTGGAAGGTTTGTCATTCATAAAATACCTATCATCATTGCCTCCTATAAAACATCAATTATCAAGAGATTTCACAAGATTCTGATTCTTGTTCTCATCTTACATTTTCCCCCTACAAACAGTTACATATATATTTGGACACATTATACATCCATAGTGGGAACTGTATACAATTGGCACACAAAATGGATTTTGGCAAAGGCCTTCTTAGACACAGATGCCATTTGCTCTTCCAGCAGGAGTTGTGAACCTAAGAGGACCCTCAATTGTGCATCTGTTGAGGAGGAAGTGCAACTGCATATAAATATATAACATTACATTTAGAAATTGTCGTCTGCCTCATCAAGTGAATCTGTGAATCTCCCAGTTCCAGGGATTCAAACCTACAGCCATTTAATCTTGTTAGGATTCAACTTGAGGCCATTTCTCCCCATCCAAATAATGTGAGCTCTGAGGATCCACACATAATAGGAGCTTCAGACCTGATTTCCCTTCAACTCTGGTCAATACTAACTGGATCTGACTACAAATCAAGGAAGAAAATGATCTTAACACTAGTCCTAATTCCAACAGACAGAACAGAAAGAAACTATATTGAAAGCTGCTGAGAGATCAAGGAGAACCAAGATGTTCCATTATTCTGTTCTAATAAAATGGGCTGTAAACTATATTAGTTATTCTTACAGGCTATTATTGATCAAAGATTATTAGATAGAAAAAGCATGTATTACTTCTTGTTTCACTGGAAAACATTGTTTTTATTCAATAATTATCATCATCATGACAATAGCCAAACACCCACCTAAAACACCAGAGATCATCAAAGTTGCTCTAGAAGATTTTCAAATACAGTCATAAAGATACTCATCTGTTGCTAGTTCTCAACAGCTCATATTTAGAGCATAATTTACTGCCTCTCAGAATAGAGGCCTGCAGGTAGCAAGATGAATATCTATGTTTACAGACATTATATAAAAAAAGAAGCTATCACTTCTCCACCTTATGTCATGACCTTCTTCTCCTTTATACAAAATTCTCTCTAACCCAGCTCTATGTAATTCTTTTTAACAATTATTTCACCACGCGAATAAATGTACTTCCTTTTTCAAACAAAGTACAGAAAACACACTATCATTAAAAAGGAACTTGTAAGTGTGGCAAGCAAATACTGGAACTACGGGTTCACCCCAACCAAACTTAAATTAAGATACTAATATACAAGTAGTCCTAGACTTATGACCACAATTAGGAACAAAATTTCTATTGTTAAGCAAGATAGTTGTTAAGTGAGTTGTGCCCAATTTTATTACCCTTTTTTTGCCATGATTATTAAGCATATCGTTGCAGTTGTTAAGTGAATGACATAGTTGTAGGCTTCTCTTATTGACTTTGCTTGTTAGAAACTGGATGGGAAGGTTGAGGGTCAATCACATGATCCCAGAACACCACAACCATGGCAAGTATATGCTGATTGCTAAATGCCTGAATTTTGATCACAAGACCATGGAAATGCTGCAATAGTTATATGTGTGAGGACCAGTCATAAGCCGTGAATGATAACAAAATGAATACTTGTAAATTAAGAATTACTTATATATGCATATTAAAGCAGATTCAGAGGTAATCTTATTTCCACATTCTCCATTGCATTAAACATATTTGTAAAATTAGTGTGCCTTACCACTAATTTTAAGATCCAGTAGCAATAGGCCCAGGGGAACTTGCAACCTTTTAATAGCTGCTCTGTGTATCTGATCCCAACCATGCCAGAGAAGCAAATGCTTTGGCTCATTTTGTTGTCCCCTCCCCCCTCCATCAAACACTTTTGACCAGACTCATTGCACAATAATTATGTGGCTTTTGGAGCATCCTGCTTTGAGTGTGGAAACATATAGGGTGGAGAGAAGGAAGTGAGACCGCAGAAAGGTATTAGGCTATCCCTATCTTCATAGTTGTGGGATACAAATAATGTGAGAAGTAATCCCCCTGCATCTATTTTCAAACCAGATAATTTAGTCAAGTTTTGCAATGCAGTGCCAAAGTTATCAAGAAAATCCTATGGTTGCTGGCCTCCCTCAAACCCCTTCTACTTCTTTTATAAGAGGAAAAGGAGAATTGGGGGTTCAAGATTGTCAGAACACATAACCCCCCAACCTTATCTCAAATAAAATAACCTGCCCTTTAAAAGCTGTCCTTAACATTTGTACAGACATAAAAGAAATGCTGAAGAAGAAAGTATGTAAAAAAGGGATATACCATAAGTACAGAGCTTGCAATCAGAGACGTCATAAGCAGGCATGTTTGGCTGTCAAGGAAGGTCACAGCTTATGTAATTTTCAAAACAGGATAGCTATTTGGGAATTGTTTTAAAAACCACTCTATCTGTTTGCGTAAGATGTAAAAGTAGATAATAATTGATTGGCCTTCTCTGTCTAATTGAATATATATTTATTGGGAAAACAAGCAATATGTTTATCAACTAAGGAAAAGAAATATGAAAATACCGACTCCCACACAAAATGTTTAAAATAAAAACATATAATCTCCACATCTAAGATATTGAAGAGTTTGTTGAAACAGTTTGGCTATAAACATGATTTAAAATGCTGCATGCATGTATGCATGCAATTAAAAGAAGAGGGGTCATTTTTGTTAGATTATAAACCAAGACCAAGTTAAGGCCATATTATTGGCTTTAGTGTACCATGGGAAACAGAATTGTAAAGCCAACCTGTTCTGCCAAAGGTATAAACATCAAATGGTAGACCGAAATAAACAGGGAATAAGCCTTTTTTAGTAGATTAAGTTGTGGTGTGGGTATTTTTGCTTTTGCCAATGAATATAGGACACTTTCTATTCTACCGTCTGGATCAGCAGTCTGACTCCAGCCATGTCATACAGGAAGCGGTGCCTGCAAGAAGCTGCCACCACCAACACTTCCCTTGGAGGGAAAAACAGTTAAAAGGTGACACACCTTCTGTCAATTGACAGATGCTTATAGCTGTCCTGACACAAGCAAGCCAAGTATTTATTAACGCCCTATTCTCTTACCAATTTGTCTTTCTTTGACTTCTTCCAGAAGCAGCTGGCCTATTTCTGTCCTACAAGAAAGGCTAGAAAAAGACTGGACAATGTGGGAGTTAGAAAAACAAAAATGCAACATTTCTAAATTTCAAAATCTGGGGATGAAATTAAAAACTGACCTGCTGTACAAAAGAAACTAGTACCAAAAGACTAATTTGGAAAATACAGAAATATCAGGCAATGCTGTATTTTGTCCTACTCATAGATAATCCTAAAATTAAAAT